TCACAATTATAGATCAATTTAGAAATAGAATTTTTACCTGGGCTTGATTTGTTGACTTTGGCAGTTTGAAGTGTTCAGCTTTCATTCCAATCTACAATATGAACAAATAGTTTTTAATTCAAATTCAATATCACTTAATAACTCTTTTCAGCCAATGAGAATTTACTAAATGCTGATCACAGTTCTGACATTACACATCCCACAGTTGTAAAAAGGATCAATGACAAACTGAAAAAAAAGATACAACTTATGAACTGAAACTCAGATTCCAATAGAACTGAATTAGTTTGCATACATGATACACAGAATCACATCACCTCACCTCTGTTTCTGCAAGATTTATTTTTAAAGTGATTACAATAGCGCAAACCAAACTCGTACCTATAAGGTACTGGCTGTGATAACTGCAGAAGAAATTAAATAAACCAGGCACACAAGCCACAATTATCAAATGATAATTCTCTCCTAAAAATTATCATGAGTTGCACAAAACATGAAAATCTCACCTCCTCTGCAGACTTGATTTTATTCCTGACGTATACATTGGAATCATCTCGGTCACCAACCTGGAGTAATGTAACATAACACACTGATAAATAATATACAGGCAATAAAACACAACCTTATTCTATTACTTTTACTCATTTCTACACAAACCCAAATTCTGAAAAAATCCAGTCATTAACCAAGTACAAGTACAAAGGAATGCTACAGAATGTATTTTACCTGCACAATTGCTAATCCAGGTTTGAATGATGATACAGACTCTCGAATTTTCGCAATCTGTTCTTTCAGTTCATTTCGTAAATCTCTGAAATGCAAAGAAAATCACTGATATTAAGTAATACTAGAATATCAATTTTTCACGAAAAGATGAATACACCAGTAAGATCTGAAGTTTATTTTACTTTACAAGAATAAGATTTAATTTTTGTTGTTGTACTTATCAGTAAAACTAATAAATTAATTACTTAAAAATTGAAACGCGAAATGTGTACATGCTGCCCTCTATTTGACACAGTTTAATCTCCAGTAATCAGCGTGACCCACAAACTCTTTTATTCATTATGCAAAGAAGAACTGTGGACAGTAAGGTGATAACTGTCTTATCAGCCAATAAGTTACATAGTTCACTCAACCCCAAGCAAAATTTGCAATTCGTAAAATCGCCAGAAACTGGAGAATATATAAAAAAAACAGTAAAAATGCATAGTAAGAAAATATTTAAATGCATAAACACAGACTGTTTAGTTTCATCATATGCAAGTTACAAGTTCAACAACAGTAAACTAAACACTAACTGAAAATGCAAATAATTCGACACCTGCCACTCACAGTTCTACAAGGACATTATGACCTTTACAAATAAACATCTAACTGACAGCATACTGTAAAACATTAAATTTCCCCAGCAAGAAGGTTCATGAGGCAATGAGAACTGGTATGACTGCATTTAACAGAATCTTAACTTTAAATTGTCACTGTAGAAAGATTTTGCATTTCTTCACAAGTTATGATTTGCATGAAAATTATCAGAAAATTAATGCTGTTTACTGCATATTTAGTGTATACCTTACCAAATCACTTAACAACTTACAAATGAACTATTTTTTTTAGTAATATTCAAAATGCAACAAGTGGTAAGTATAAATTTGTTGGGGGGGGGGGGGTCATAAGGTCATTAAATATAGGTCGCAGGGTGACAAACTAAACCAGGGTTGTGGGTCAGCAGTTGCAGCTTACAATAATTCAAGTTGATCACATGGAAATAGTTATTATTTAGTTTATACAGAATAGTTATTTTCTATGTGACCATGGTAACAAGAGTTCTAGATGTTTACAGCAAATGAATGTAATTGTCCATTGACCACTGTTGGAACCATTTTTGCTGATTCAGAGATTTTGTGCATGCTATGAACACGAGTCACAGATTGTGCAGGGGCATGTAGATTGCCTTCAGTAGTACTAATAACAAGTGACTTAAAAACACACACAATTTGAAAAACAAACGAGAAAATTCGATAACTTTAATATTCATAACGTTCTATTGTCACATAAGATGCAATTACATTTTCCATTTTTATTTTTTGTTTGATTTGTTCATTACTTGATACACTAAATAACAATGTTTTAATGACATAATATTGACAATCATGTCCATGTTCACGTGGTGCTACGCGATTAAATAATACTGGGAGATTTTCGTTACTACTGGTATAATACCGTCCACCGTGCGAACTTCCCGCTCGTTGTGGACTATTATAATTCATAACCAATGCATGCATTGATTCTCGTCAAATAAAATAACTTGTCCTTACCCTGCTGTTTTCTTTCCGTCAATAAGTTTCGCAGTAACTTCCTCGGACATGACTGGTTAAGGGGACTCCACAGAATATTCAAATATAAAGCTAAACTTATCCCTGCTTGCGTAGCTGGATGACAGACGCCACTAAACTAAACTAAACTGGTTCGTAAAACGTGCAGTCGATGACCTTTGGCAACCATCCATCATCAGTCAGGTGACCATCTCCAGCTTCCCATCATGCAATACGCAAACTGTTGCCTTTGCGCAGCCGTACAACTTTTGTCCGCCATTTTCAAATTTGTCGAATTTTAGAGAAAGATGTGAAATATGAGAATATGAGTATATAAGTTATCCTGACTATATTTTCCGTTACTCTGTCAAGAAAAGAGGTAAGTGAATGTTTCATGCCAAAGTTAACGGGTACCCCATGTGATCGGACTAAATTTTGTACTTAAAGTAAATTACTTTTGTGATGTGACTTTGTGTAAATTAAATTTTCTGTTTATTTGCTTTCGTAAACGTCTGCAAGATTATGTGGGTTGATTGCGGATCGTATTATTCGGATCTATACGGTTTCTATCAAGCCTCCATCTGCTCATTGTCAATTAATTGTACATTAATTTCCACAAGTAACAAATCACGCCGGCAATTTTACCCCTCAGTGTCTGTTAGCTTTTTTCTCCGAATCCAAACCGCCAACATCACAACAAATGATGGAAGGGGGAGTCATTTGCATTCTGATCTCCGCGCCTGCTGCTTCATAACAATGTTTTTACTTTGTCTTTAGTTTCTGATTTCCACAACCAAGAGTACGTACCTAATTAATATTAAGATTTTTTAATTTTTTTTTTTTCGAGTGTCAAACTGCAAATAGTGGAAAGGGATGCAATTTCAGACAAACGCAAAAAATGTTAAGCCAACTAAAAAGTTCACGATTTATTAACTGTAAAAGCCACTCTCCTTAAAAAATTTACCACGTAATTATTTGGCAGATCAATTATAATTTATTATTCGTACCATCAGCTTCAAAAATGTCAATTAATGAACAAATATCATTCACAAACCACAGGCGCTCGGAACGTTTCTTGGATAATAAAAAGTGACCTAAAGTAGGATCGGCATAGTTAGTCAGTCGCCGGTACATTCCCATACCAGTCATATAAAAACTCAAGCATGAAATCGGTAGAAACTATCGATCGACTTATATTACCTTTATTCAAACTAAAACTGGTTCCTATCGTTTCAGTCATTCTTTGAACGATTATGTTTAAATAAATATTGCTACACTACAGCAAGTTATGATCAACATTGTCGGTAAATGTACAGCAATTGCTTCCAATGTTGTTGAAGTTGTTTTGCTACAATAAAGTTTGTTTTGATACATTTGCGATGCACCCAGACTTCTAGTCGCCATCATTGGACCCACAATGCATTTCAACTCATACCTGATCGGACTGACAGTCATGGCGGAATACTTATTCAAAGTAGAGTTTGTTGATTATCTGGATACAAGAATTATACCAATATATATATATATCACAAGCTGAGTTTCATAGTGATGACTTTGATTACAACAGTTTTATCGACCGCCCTATTAGTGAGACACCATTTTTACCATCATTTTCGCGTTCATATTATAGACGAAGAAAATCAGAAATTGGATTTACGAACAAACCATCGATTCAAACAGTTGGTCATCGACAACTACACCAGGAGGCATAATAAAGGCAAAACTATTTATTCTGGATGGGTCATCACCTATGATGAAACAGAATGAAAACCAACCGTGGGAACCGACTGCTGGCTTATCTACTGAAGCCGATAAAAAATCAAAGCGGATAAAACTAGACTTTCAGACTTTCACTTGGACACACACGCGGTTGCTAGAGACCCGAGCATGCGCACTTCCCAAACATCAAAATGCGATATAACATAACTTACTTATCGTGGAATAAACATCGGTTATATCAATAATAAGACCTCCATTAATGCCTCTGTTATTTAATGTTACACTGTAGCCTCGTTATAACGAACTCTTTGGGAGACATATAATTAGTTTGTTATAGTGAAATGTTCACTATATTGAAGCACATAATACATTGGGTTTGTTGTAAGCGGGGGACGTGTTATGTGTTCATTATATCAGGAAATTTGTTATAAAGGTGTTCATTATATTGAGGTTACAGTGTATTACTTTGTTTTGATATAAGATGCAAGTAAAATTTGACTTTAAAGTAACAAATGTTTTTGACCATCAGATCGCTTTGATAACAAACACAGGCCAGCCATGATGCTGTAATGCATTAGTTAGCTAGCATGTTTCCCTTGACCTGATAGTTTTCCTTATTGAGTTGATCATAAAGATTGCATTGTAGCATGACAGGCATGGCATGGTTTATCGGAACATATGATTATCATTTTTTTAAAGGTGAAGGAAGTGTTGAAAGAAGAGTTTTGACATTCACGAAGATAACAGTTAAAATGTATTTTACACACTACACAATAAACATATGTTGCTTTTTTTTGAGCGCAAACAGATCGTGACCTCCACTTTGACCATGATATATCGAGGAGGAAGGGATTTTCACAGAATTTTAGCTTTCAAGTTAGGGACTTTGTTCAAACAATGATGTGCTAACTTCACAAAATTGGCTAGTATTGTTTATAAGCCAATTCCATGTCGTGGGACGAGGTCCATTGTTTACACATTCTAATCCATGACTTGCAAGATATGTGCCAGTCTTGTTCGGGATAGTTTCCGTGGTGGTTGCTTATTCTGAGTGCCTGACCTGAACACTGCTGACTTGGGTGGCGAGATTCCTGCCTTTCATGCTGTGATACATCATAACATGTGGTATATATCTTTTGGGGCTGGATTTCTGTCTTTGGGGAGGCATTACATTTATTGAGCATGACAGAAATTGTATCCTGTTCCACTATTTAGTGTTATGGTTTCTTGATCACCTAACAATGGACAAGATAACCAAAAAAAGTAATACAGAAAAATCAAGAAAGCTACAACACTGTGATTGGCAAGCATGGTACTAATCACCCTCCATTGAGCGAAGTACTTGTGTAGTACAGCATGTTCAATCCCTACCTTGTTTACATTACGTCGTTTCATGATAGCCGTTTCAATTTTCAAATAATTTAAAACGTACATGGGTTTCACTATACCCTGCAGAGTCAGCCATTTTTTTTTTTTTATAATTTTCTTCTTTATTTGTGTAGAGTTAATTACATAATACATCTGTCTAACAAGTTGGAAAGTTTCATAATGTCAGATACGGAAACCTTAGGGTAAGTAATGATACATAATCAGTAATAATACCTGATCAGTAAGCATATAGCTTGTAGTAAAACAAGAATCATAGTGGCACTGCAAAAGTCAAAATTGTTAATGAAAAGTATATTTATGAGCTAAATTGCACATCCATTTCATTCATGGATCAGCTTATGCAATGTAGTGAATTTTGATACTTCCATGTTTTTTTGGAAAGAAGGACACATAGTGTTGTGCTTTACCAATCTCACAACTAGACAAAATTGGTGTACAAATATTACAATGTAATAATTGGCACCTATAAAACAGTTTTCTTCAATTTGTCCTTTAGAAAGTTAATTTTAGGTAAATGTTATATACACCGAAAATGTACTGACTGTACAAGGAGAAATATTCACTGGGTTTTATTTTAGCATATTTGATGGTGCAGGGGTATTTGTGAGGCTGTAAATTTACTGGTTTGTGAAAGAAACAATACATTCTATAAGCTATTGTTAAATGTCGATATTCACTGGATTTTAATCGAGCTACTGTATCAAAAATAACTAAAAATTGGCCAAGAATTTAAAAAAGTTCTTTGATAATTATATGTTTAAATGTATGTATTTTATCCTTTAACAGAGTAAAATCAAGAAAAAGGAAATCAACCAGTAGACGATTATCTGTAAGTGTTGGTAACTACATTTTAATCTCTTTACCTAGCCCTACATCAACAATTACAGTCTATGTAAAAACATAGGTGGTGTTGTATTCATTTGTTATAAACAAATATATCCCACTTACATACAAGTGTTCATATACATATTTTCTTTACATTTCATTGTAGATTTTGAAAGGCCCCAAGTCACCGATGAGAAATGCTCTTGGTGATCTAGACCCAAACTCTGATGCTGTTGAAGATGTTCAGTGTCGACAGTGAGTAATCAGTATTTTTGTAGCAAATTCTATTTCATTTTCATTGGGAGGTATGAGTGCAGAATGCTTAGCTGAACCTGATCTTCATTCTACTTTGCAGAGAATTCAAGAAGTCAAAGCGCCTGTCAAGAAGAGTAAGTTTTGCCGAGACTTATGAAGTCAAGTAAGTTGTTAAAAAATTATTCTGTTTAAATACTGGCAACTGCTCTTAGCTTAGTTATCATTTTACCAGTTTGCGTGTAGCAAAAGTTATTTACTGGTTTCCTAGTTTGTAATATACCACGCTGTTCACAAAATAGATTCTATTCGCCAGATAGAAGAATTACACCAATATGTCACTTAAGTATCTCTTATTTATTTAAAATGCTCTACGACCACCAGCTATGATGTTGTCAGACGTCAGACAAAACTAGTATATTCAGCAAAGCATGCTATTCATGACTTACAAATGCACTACTGTAAAATACTTTATTTTAGCTGCCATTAATTTTCACTGAAAAGACAGTACTTGTAGTAATGCTATGTTTATGTTTAAAATCAGTCATTCACAAAACATAGTGACCATTGAGTTTCAGCAAGTCAATACACTAAGGTGGCGTTATTGTTCACACATGCTAAAATCGTTTCTGTAAGTACAGGGTGTCGGTCAAGACTTGCCATTTTAGGATGGTTTATCTTGTTCATACGTGTTTCAACACCGGCCTGTTATAAAGCTGGTCTCGAAACCAGGTTTTTTTGCATATGTGTGAACACAGTAATAGTATAAACTTTTGAATAAAAATAATTCATGGTTCAAAACTTCAAGGCCATTGGCCAATTATATGCGTTACACTGAATACAAATTTTTAAAATTTAACAAATTTGTTTGTAGGGAGTATTTAAAAGATGCAGATGCACTCAGTATGGGAATGTGGCATCAGAGAGATGGTTCAGCGGAGAATGTTCCTGAAAATGAAACAGATCAGGCTCAACGGTAAGTTCTTTCTGATGACAAGAGTCATGATGAAAGTGATTGTTTATTCTCACAACACAACACAGCATTACATTGTTTTCTTTCTATAACGTTTTTATCATGCTGCAGCTAGCCATTACTGATTATTTGCTTTCCAAGCTTCATTTTCATATAGACAGAATGTATTGGTGGTGAATTGTATAATTGCAGTGGGCAACAAAGCAAAACTTGGAATGCATTACAATCAGCAACGACCGCGGTGTGATAAAAACGAAGTACATTTCAATGTATACCATACAGAAATGTTTAAGTGTATGATTCCAACATGTTTGAGTTTTCTTTATTTTCTAGCGCTATCTCAGGAGATTCCACTCAAAATTTATCGAGAGCTGAAGTGCAACATCCTCCTCAAATTCAAGGTTTGTTTTTTTATTGGCCTCTATAATAGTGACACATATCAAGTATTTTAGGTAATAGATATGTGGAAATAATGAAGATTATTTTTGTACACATAAATATAGTATATGTGCATTAGAAAACAGATTTCTGTTTAAACTCTATGTATGATTTTCAGGCCTGGAGTCATTACTGTCAGGACAAATAAAAAACCCTGTAGCATTATACAACACCCAAGATAGTCAAGAGAATGCATATTATGACAGTAAGACAGATGTTGGTGGAAACATGGTGGAAGACAATAAAACAGATTCACAGTATCTGTCAAAAGACCCTGAAGCTGAGAATCAAAGCAAAATTGACAGCTCCATGTTCACAAAGAAGTTCATAAGTAAAATAGATGGGTCTATGTTCTTGAAGAAACTCATGAATGATGGGTAAGTGCTTACCTACACGTAATAGTGATGTCCATCTGTTGAAAAAACACATAGACTTGAGTTTTTGAAAGCATTCAGTCAATTTGTGTGTTTACTCTTGATGTTAAATTTAATGGGGAGATCCAAGCAAGTTTGAAAGCACTTATTTATAGTTTTCATTTTTTTTGTATTTCCTGCTTTAATATATATGGGTATTATTTTTTGGGGTTTCAGGGAGAGCACATCTATGAGTACTGGTAGAGGAATTAGTAGTTACCAACAAAGTTGTATCAGCCAAGTGCAAGAAGATGTTCCCTCCGATGACTGTACAGTTCATTTCAAAACATCAGAAAATGACATGGATATAACCAGATGTCAAGATACCACAGCTACTCTGCCCTATACGGTCTTTCCTCCTGATACTGGTGGACTTCCACTCTCTGATATTAAAAAAGATCAGCTTATTGACCGGAATGATACCATTGAACCAAATATGACAATGGAGTTTACACAGTGCCATGGTAGCAGTCTTCAAAGTGATGTTGTCCCCACTATGCAGTATCCCAGTAGTGCTGAAGACCATACAGTTCATTTCAGAGCAGCAGAAAACGACATGGATATAACCAGATGTCAGGATACCACAGCTTCTCTGCCCAATGTAGCCTTTTCTCATGGTCATACACTCACTGGTAATAAACAAGTTCAGCAGTTTCCAGAAAGTGCTGGGGCCGATACTGTTGTCTCTGATGACCATACAGTTCATTTCAGAGCAGCAGAAAACGACATGGATTTAACCAGATGTCAGGATACCACAGCTTCTCTGCCCAATGTAGCCTTTTCTCATGGTCATACACTCACTGGTAATAAACAAGTTCAGCAGTTTCCAGAAAGTGCTGGGGCCAATACAGTTGTCTCTGATGACCATACAGTTCATTTCAGAGCAGCAGAAAACGACATGGATATAACCAGATGTCAGGATACCACAGGTACTCTGCCCTACACCGAATTTCATTCTGTTACTAATGACAATACTCTACCTGGCAATAAAACAGTGCAGCAGCATCCTGACAGTGCTAGAGACTGGTTTCCCACTTCCACAAATCCATGCAACAAATCTGAAAACCAGCAGCAAAATTTGCCACTCAAAATATTTAATTCCAAAAATATTATGGCAAAATTTGATCAATCTCTAGAAGCAAGGCTGCCCTCTCAAAACTACTCAAATTATTCACTTGGAAGTAACCCTGAGGACCGTAGAAGGCGTTTCTCTACTGGACGCAAGTTCTCAGATCAGACTGAGCCTTTGGAAAATGTAGAAATCGAAGGGTCAACTGTTCCTGAGTTTGCTTCAGATACTACCCTTCATTTAGATCAGACCATGGATATCACACTCTGTAATTCCACTGGCATACTGGAGTCCACAAATACCATCATGCATGCACTTGATAAAGAAATAGCAGATAGAGAATTTAAAAGTAGTGTGCAGGTGGGTATGGAGCAGAAGCAATTTATAGCTGATGGTGAAAAGGCTGAGCTGGATTCTGATGGTAAGACACGCAATTTTACATCCGAGGACATCACTGGCTGCATGGAAATGACTACATGTGTTGGAAGTATTGTTTCTGAGAAGCCGCAAGATATATCAAAATTACAGGCACTGAGTCGGCGAATGAGAAGGATCAGTAACATCTCACAAGACCCTGACAAAACACGTGTGTTCACATTTGATGATGACACAGCAGCGATGGAGTTTACAACTTGTAACAGTTATATTCCAATTCAGTCAAGCAGTAGTGGCTCTATTGCCCATGCAAAAAGACAAGATTTGTGCCCTGTTGGACCTGCTGAACAGACCATGATTTTTGAAGAGGATAATGGAATGGATATGACATGTGCCACAGTACATGTTGATGTTCCTAGTTTGATAACATCTGATCGCACTGCTTGCAACATTAATGTTGCTTCATCGTTACATGATGAACATGGTCAAGCTATGTCTATGCTAGAAGACTATCACATGGGTGAGCCCAACTCGAGTGTCCAGGCAGCTAAAGATGGGAATTCCAGCATAGACAACTGCCACGATAAAACACATGTTTTTTCTGACGATACTGCAGCTATGGAAATGACCGCTGTGATGGAATCCACTGATCAGATCAAACAGTCAACACTGTCAGAGGTAGACAAACTAAAATGTCCTGTTCAGATACGACTGCGACCATGGAGCAGACTAATGCATTACCTT